CATTTCGTGGAGTATCTTGCATTTGTCACTGTTGAACTTCATTTTGTTAGTTTTGGCCCTTCTCTCTAATCTGTCAAGATCATTTTGAATTCTGCTCCTGTCCTCTGGAGTATTGGCTGTCCCTCCCAATTTGGTGTCATCTGATACAGAACGTATGCCATGGTCAGCAACATGGAAGGATTGGCGAGCAGCGTGAAAAGAGAGGAAATAAATAAAATAAAATAAATAAAGAGGAAGGAGGCTCACGGATCAGATTTACATCCTTGCGGCCCACAGGTTGAGAACCACTGGTGTAGATGCAAGCCATAGTCCCGAACTTACATATCCCTGGAATGGAGATGGAAAGGGTTGTATAGGTCATAAATCAGCACTTTGAATTGGAGATGTTGGAGATGAACAGGCACAAATTTTATGTGACTTTGCCTCATAAGGGCCAGGAACGAGGTCACAGCCTTAGTTTGATCCCCTGATCCTGTGGATTTTGAAGCATCCTGCCAAGGAATGTGCGCAGTCTGCCCTTGCCTTGGCCTGTCATTGCATTCGTTCCTTTTAAATCATGCCGAGGCCCAAACATCTGGCTTTGGCCACATCCAGCAACAGGAAGCTGGATATTAAGCATGTCTGTATGTATGTGTGCTGGGATGGACAGTTTGGGCCAAGCCTGGTGTTTACATCTCCTCTTCCACTGATTTGTATCAAAGTTCTTGTTGGGAAATAGCTGCTTCACACATCTTGGCAACGGCTCCTTGGGGAAACTTCAAGTCAATGAAGGCTCCAAATCACAGTTTGGCCAGGACAGTCTAGTCCTCTGCTGTCCCACTTTTCCAGCTGCATCAAAATGTCCCAGTTTCCCCATCCCTCTTCCCGCTTTCCCCCTTTGTCCTTGGCTTAATTCACTTGCTGCAAACAGAGTTCAAAATGCAAAATGTTAACTTAACTTCCTTCTTTTGCAATATGGAATTTTGCATCTGGTTATTATTTTTCTTTGGCATTCATCCATTGAACAATGGCATTAAGCTTGGTGAAGTTTGGTGAAGTTTGGTTGACAATGACACGTACAAAGAAGAGAGCTATCTTATCTATCTATCATCTATCTATCTATCTACCTATCATGTGTCTATCAGGTCTGTCTGATCTCTCTCTCTCTTGTATCTACTCTATCTGATTCATCATCTCTTTCTCCTATCCATCCATCCATCCATCTATCCATCCATCCATCTATCCATCTATCATCTCTCTGTGTCATCTATCTTATTATCTGTCATATCATCCATCCATCTGTCAGTCTGTATGTCTGCAATTCATCTTCTATGTATCATCTATCTATATATCATTTGTCTGATCTCTCTCTCATCTATCTATTTATTATCTAGCTATCTATCATTTGTTGATCTCTCTCTCTCTCTGTCTATCTGGTCTGTCTGATCTATCATCTCTCTTGTATCTATCAATTGATTGATTGATTGATTGTTTGATCGATTGATCTATCCATCCATCTGTCATCTCTCTGTATTAACTATCATGTTATCTATCATATCCATCCATCTGTCTGTTGGTCTGTCATTCATCTTCCATGTATCATCTCTATCTATCTATCTATCTATCTATCTATCTATCTATCTATCTATCTATCTGGTCTGTCTGATCTATCATCTCTCTCTCGTATCCATCCATCCATCCATCTGTCTGTCTTTCTGTCCATCCATCCATCTACCATCTCTTTATGTTATCTATCATGTTATCTATCATATCATCCATCCATCTGTTTTTCGATCTGTCTGTCATTCATCTTCATTGTATCATCTATCTATCTATCTATCTATCTATCTATCTATCTATCTATCTATCTATCTCTATCTATCTATCTATCTATCTATCTATCTATCTATCTATTCATCCATCTATTATCTTTCTGTGTTATCTATCATATTATTTATCATATCATCCATCCATCTGTCTGTTGGTCCATCTACCATCTCTCTGTGTTATCTATCATGTTATCTATCATATCATCCATCCATCTGTCTTTCGGTCTGTCTGTCATTCATCTTCCATGTATAATCCCTATCTACTATCTATCTATCTATCTATCTATCTATCTATCTATCTATCTATCATTTATCTACTTTCGTACTATTTTGATTGCAAGTTTTGTCTCTCCTCTTCTGTCCCTGTTACTGAATAAATGAGATGCAAACTAAGTTGGAAGCAAGCTGAGGACAAAGGGAGAAGGCGAAAGAACTTGGAGCATTTTAAAAGCAGGTTTATTTATTTGTTGTGTCAGGGCAACCAGTCAATTATATTACATTTCTAACAGAACAAAGCAAACAAACAAACAAACAGACAAAACACAAAATTTGTGAGTTTGGTGGTTGATTAAATGTCCTTTGACCAGTATCTGGCCACTTGGAGTGCTTCTGGTGTTGCTGCAAGAAGGTCCTCCATTGTGCATGTGGCAGGGCTCAGGTTGCATTGCAGCAGGTGGTCAGTGGTTTGCTCTTCTCCACACTCGCATGTCGTGGATTCCACTTTGTAGCCCCATTTCTGGAGGTTGGCTCTGCATCTTGTGGTGCCAGAGCAGTCTGTTCAGCGCCTTCCAAGTCGCCCAGTTTTCTGTGTGCCCAGGGGGGAGTCTCTCATTTGGTATCAGCCATTGGTTGAGGTTCTGGGTTTGAGCCTACCACTTTTGGACTCTCGCTTGCTGAGGTGTTCCAGCGAGTGTCTCTGTAGATCTTAGAAAACTATTTCTAGATTTAAGTCGTTGACGTGCTGGCTGATACTCAAACGGGATGAACTGGAGATGTCACTGCCTTGGTCCTTTCACTATCGGCTGCTACTTCCTGGCGGATGTCAGGTGGTGCAATACCGGCTAAGCAGTGTAATTTCTCCAGTGGTGTAGGTGAAGAAGTGGTTTAGGTGAAGAAATGGTGTAGGTGAAGAAGCAGGTGAATAAGTGGGAGGACAGAGGGTTAATTGGGAAAGCTCTTTCCAAATTGGGACGATTGACTAGAGATGCAGTCTCCTCTGGCTAGCATGAAGCCATACATTTTGTGCCAACACAGAGGCTACGTGAATAGCACAGTCATGGGCAAACTTGGGCCCTCCCTCCAGGTGTTTTGGAGTCCAACTCTTACCATTCCTAACAGCCTCAGGCCCCTTTCTTTCCCCTCTCAGCCGCTTGAGCTTAAGGAAGGGGCCTGTGGCTGTTAGGAATGGTAAGAGTTGGACTCCAAAACACCTGGGGAAGGGTGCAAGTTTGGAATAGCACATGGGTTTCTGTATAGCTGTACTGTTTCCAAAGAGGGTGGGCAGCAGCCTCACGGACTGGAGGCTGTACAGGCAAAGTACCGGTTTCCATGCGCAGCATCCCTCCAAAGCAGTCAAAGGCGGCATTGTGGAGGCCGGACAGCAGCGCATCTATTTATAGGCCTCTTCAGAGGAGCCTCTGAAAGTCGGGATTGTTCCCCCTCAAGTGGGTCAGACAGTCTACAAAAGTAGCAGCTTGAGGTTAGCCACGCCAAGGCAGGGAGAGCGATGCCACCGGGCCCGAGAAAGAAAGGCTGAAGTCAGCGAAGGGGCGCATGGCTTGGACACCGAAGGAAGGAGAAAGGATGCCGCATCTGTCCCAATTTGATTCATCTTTGGATATGGAGAGGATGCATGGATGAGATGCTCTCTCTTTGCTCACAGCACTCAGGAAGAAAGGGAACCTCCCCTTGGAAAGGGCTGCCTTTCAAATCATCATCATAATCACAATCATCATCATCATCATCTTTTCTTTTCCCCATCTCCAAAAGCACTCTCTCTGCTGGAATCTGTTAGTGTTCAACTGTGAAAATGTAACTTAGTTGTGTCATTGTTCGATGATTTTGGTGTTGTCTTTATTATTATTCTGATGTGGATGCTGGGCATGTTTTGGGATTTGGATGGTTTCGGTTAGTGCGTTGTTTCTCAACTTTCTGCATGCCGTGACCCCTGAATACAGTTCCTCATGTTGTGGTAACCCCCAACCATAACATTATTTCCGTTGCTACTTTATAACTGTAATTTTACTAAAAACCCCATAACAGGTTTCCCTTAGGACAGGGTTTCTCAACCTTCCTAATTCCGCGACCCTTTAATACAGTTCCTCATGTTATGGTGACCCCCCAACCATAAAATTATTTTCGTTGCTACTTCAAAACTGTCATTTTGCTCCTGTTATGAATTGTAATGTAAATATCTGATATACAGGATGTATTTTCATTTACTGGACCACATTTGGCACAAATACCCAATACGCCGAAGTTTGAATGGTGGGGTTGGGGTGGGGATTGATGTTGTCATTTGGGAGTTGTAGTTGCTGGAATTTATAGTTCCCCTACCATCAAAGAGCATTCTGAACCCCACCAACGATGGAATTGAACCAAACCTGGTACACAGAACTTCCATGACCAACAAAAAATACTGGAAGGGTTTGGTGGGCATTGACCTTGAGTTTTGGAATTGTAGTTCACCTACATCCAGAGAGCACTGTGGACTCAAACAATGATGGATCTGGACCAAATACTCAATATACTCAATATACCCAAATGTGAACACTGCGTGGAGTTTGGGGAAAATAGACCTTGACATTTGGGAGTTGTAGTTACTGGGATTTGTAGTTCACCTACAATCAAAGAGCATTCTGAACCAAACCAACAATAAAATTGGGTCAAACTGCCCACACAAAACCCCCATGACCAACAGAAAATACTGTGTTTTCTGATGGACTTTGGCGACCCCCCTGACACCTCCTCATGACCCCTGCAGGGGTCCCAACCCCCAGGTTGAGAAACACTGCCTTAGGATATACATGAATCAGAATGGACTTGAAGGCACCCTGCAACAACACTTTTCATAATCACATAAGCTGCAGCTATTAAAAATAACTTTCCAAGCTCTGCTTTAGATACTACCGGGCTTAAATACCCTGGATCCAAACTAACCAACTTTTCCTTCGTTTTATATCTATGCTCTAGATCCAAAGAACTGCCAAGAAGAAGGCTTTTCGGAAGGAGTGTTGCCTGCTGTCTGGTTTCTCTGGAGCACACGATGGCCAGAAATCCCTCTCCAGGGTGGACAGTTATGCTCTTCTTTGGGCTCCTGTTTGTTGCCCACGGGGCCCAAGCCTTCTTCTTGCCCAACGCCACTCACTTGGAAAGCCTCCTCAGCAAATACCGGGAGGAGCAGCCCCACCTGAGGAGCAGGAGGGCCATTTCCCCCTCGGACAAAGATGAGATCCTGGCCCTCCACAACAAGCTGCGAGGCCAGGCCTACCCATCGGCATCCAACATGGAGTACATGGTGAGTTCGAAAGACTGAAGGAAGTTTGCCTCAAGGGTTGACCCACTTGGGGTGTCCTCTAGGCATTTCTCCCCAGACATGGACCTCCTTCTTTGCACTGTAACCCACTCCAGGTCAAATTCCAGTGGCTTTCCAGATGTGGCTCCTTGCAATAAATTTGGCTCACGTTGCAAAGCTTCTTGAGTCATGTCCGCTGGAAAGGAACTTTTAGTAGGTCAGGTCAACTCGAGGCTACTTTCTGCATAATTGCACTATTTACGGGATTTTAAAAATCCGTCTTATTCCTGGGATTCTCCCTCCTCCTCTAGAAGGGAGAGTAGAGCTATGCAAATAAGGAGGTGGGGCTATGCAAATAAAGAGGCAGGGCTTTATTAGCTTCTGAATTTTTCTGTTTTGTATGCATCACACTGCAGAATGAATGAAGCTTGACACCACTTGAAATGCAATCACCCGATCCTGGGAATTGCAGTTTTGAAAGGTCTTTCGCCAATACCAATAGTACTGGTTCTTCACCAAACTACACATCCCAGTATCCTATAGTATTGAATTGCGGCAGTTCTATTGCTGTCAAACTGCATTAACTGTATAGTGTAGATGCATCTCTAGTTTGCTATCAGGCAGCCTGAGGGGAATAAATGTCATGCAAAATGCATCACTAGAGACGGAAGTACCAAGGTGGGGCTGCCTTTGAAAACGGCCTGGAAATTTCAGTTGGTTCAACGGGTGGCGGCCAGGCTGTTAACTGGGAGAGGTCAACCCTCCTGTTTAAGGAGCTCCATTGGCTGCCATTCATCTTCTGGGCCCAATTCAAGGTGCAGGTGCTCACCTACAAAGCCCTAAACGGTTTGGGACCCATCTACCTGTGTGACCGCATTTCTGTATACGAACCACATGATCTCTTCGTTCATCTGGAGAGGCCCTGCTCACGATCCCACCTGCATCACAAGTGCGATTGGTGGGGACGAGGGACAGGGCCTTTTCGGTGGTGGCCTCGCGACTCTGGAACTCCCTCCCCAAGGACATCAGGCAGGCCCCAACGTTGGCAGTCTTTAGAAGGAGCATGAAGACATGGATGTTCCAGTGTGCCTTCCCAGAATAAGGACTCCCAAGCAATATGTCCCAAATGCACTTTACGAGAGATTTAGTACTGTCTGCATGCTCGGCCTCTTGTAAGCCACACCGAGTCCTGCAGGAGATGGTAGCGGGGTATAAATAAAGGATTATTATTATTATTATTACTATTATTATTAGGTGGCCTGAAAGGGGCTACATGTGCACATCCAAAGTACTATATAATTTATTTATTTATTATTTACAGTATTTATATTCCGCCCTTCTCACCCCACAGGAGACTCAGTGCGGATTACAATGCACATATGCACGGCAAATATTCAATGCCAATTTGACATATAACACATATAGACAGACACAGAGCCAATTTAACATTGCAGCTTTTCCAGCTTCATGAGGGTATGCTCGGTTCCGACCACAGGGGGCGCTGCCGCTTCACCGTCCACTTGTGACACGGGTCCTTTGATGAAGTACTTCCTCATTCTTCTACATGCTGCTGAAAGATTTTTTTTATGGTGTTGTAAATTAGTTAAATTAGCCTCTCCGCATAAAGTGGTACCTAAATTTCCTACTTAACAGATGCAACTGTCTTTCAGGCTTCATAGGTCAATAGCAACCTAGGCTATTAATGGTCTGGAGCTTACTCTGACTTGGGCTGGCTTTGAACCTTGGAAAGATGATACCCTTGGGACAAGAATCCCCACCATCCCTGTGATGCCTGGTGGGTTCTGGGAAATGTGGTTCACAAAAGCCCTGCAATAATTCCCTTTGGAAGAGTGAGCTGGCAATCATACCGTTCACTGTGATTCATGCTTTCCCATTGAGAAACACAAGCCGGGGAAAATATGCGATGCAATGGATGGTTTTTCCACATACTGGAGGCAAGGGAGGGAGAAGGGCAGTCAGGATTCTTACTTTCTTTGGCGCAAGAAGGGACAAAGATGCCTCTCGCTTCTGCACATTCCCAGTCCTTTGCTATCTGTCATCCTGGCTGTGTCAACAAGGACGGATCAGTCCTTTCTGAGAAGTTCGCCTTTGCTGTCCCTATGCCTCTTCTGTCTTTTTAAAGGCCTTCACACAATTATGGGGAAATCCCACGGCTTTTACTGGAACGTGCTGTCGACTTAAGGCCAGCTTTCTGCAGACCAATAAATATGAATGAAGGGTCATTGAATGTGAAGCCTCATGCCTGGGAAGAGCAACCACAAAGATATGCCGGCAATGGCTTTCTTGCATGAATGAGGGGCATCTCCACTGTAGAATGAATGCACTTTGGCCTCACTTGAACTGCCAAGGCTCAATGCTATGGAATAATCGGAATTGTAATTTTGCAAGACCTGTATTGTCGAAGGCTTTCATGGCCGGAATCACTGGGTTGTTGTAGGTTTTTCAGGCTTTATGGCCATGTTCTAGAACAGGGGTCCTCAAACTAAGGCCCGGGGGCCGGATACGGCCCTCCAAGGTCATTTACCCAGCCCTCGCTCAAGATCAAGTGAAGTCTGTAACGACTTGAAATCACACAACAACAACAACAACAACAACAACAATCCTATCCCATCATCCAAAAGCAGGCCAACACTATCCTTTGAAATACTAATAAGTTTATATTTGTTAAAATTGTTCTTCATTTTAATTATTGTATTTTTTTAAAGTGTTTTTGCACTACAAATAAGATATGTGCAGCATGCATAAGAATTCATGCATTTTTTTTTTCAAATTATAATTTGGCCCTCCAACAGTTTGAGAATCATAGAATCATAGAATCAAAGAGTTGGAAGAGACCTCATGGGCCATCCAGTCCAACCCTCTGCCAAGAAGCAGGAATATTGCATTCAAATCACCCCTGACAGATGGCCATCCAGCCTCTTTTTAAAAGCTTCCAAAGAAGGAGCCTCCACCACACTCCAGGGCAGAGAGTTCCACTGCTGAACGGCTCTCACAGTCAGGAAGTTCTTCCTAATTTTCAGATGGAATCTCCATTCTTGCAGTTTGAAGCCATTGTTCCATGTCCTAGTCTCCAGGGAAGCAGAAAACAAGCTTGCTCCCTCCTCCCTGTGGCTTCCTATCACATATTTATACATGGCTATCATATCCCCTCTCAGCCTTCTCTTCTTCAGGCTAAACATGCCCAACTCCTTAAGCCACTCCTCATAGGTCTTGTTCAGACCCTTGATCATTTTATTCGCCCTCCTCTGGACACATTCCAGCTTGTCAATATCTCTCTTGAATTGTGGTGCCCAGAATTGGACACAATATTCCAGGTGTGGTCTAACCAAAGCAGAATAGAGGGGTAGCATGACTTCCCTAGATCTAGACACTATGCTCCTATTGATGCAGACCAAAATCCCATTGGCTTTTTTTGCCGCCACATCACATTGTTGGCTCATGTTTAACTTGTCCACGAGGACTCCAAGATCTTTTTCACACGGACTGCTCTCGAGCCAGGCGTCCCCCATTTTGTATCTTTGCATTTCGTTTTTCCTGCCAAAGTGGAGTATCTTGCATTTGTCCCTGTTGAACTTCATTTTGTTAGTTTCGGCCCATCTCTCTAATCTGTCAAGATCATTTTGAATTCTGCTCCTGTCCTCTGGAGTATTGGATATCCCTCCCAATTTGGTGTCGTCTGCAAACTTGGTGATCTAGCTCTTCATCTAAGTCATTAATAAAGATGTTGAACAGGACCGGGCCCAGGACGGAACCCTGCGGCACTCCACTTGTCACTTCTTTCCAGGATGAAGAGGAAGCATTGATGAGCACCCTCTGGGTTCGTCCATTTAACCAATTACTGAGAGACTGTGACCTCAGTAAGTTTGAGGACCCCTGTTCTAGAAGATGGCCATACTTCTAGAACATGGCCATACAGTCCAAAAAACCTATAACAACCCTTTGCAAGGCCTTTTGCAGCTTCTGTCAAAGCAAATTGGGGTTTCTAAGTGATTGCAGGCTGCCAATCACAAGGTCGAGTGAAGAACCTGGCTGTATTTTCCTTGGCCGTTGCTGCCTTTGCCATATGATTCCCTTGGCCACAGTCTATTTACTCATCCAGCGTGGCTACTGCCTCATGTTTGGCTTTGCTCAGCGTGTGTTTTCCTTTTCTCCACCGCCTTCTTTTCTCAAAGAGCCTCACAGACCTCGCGCCCAGTGGCTCTCCTGGGAATGGCTCATAACCTGCCTTTCATCAAGCCATATTTACCTAATAGGGCTTGGAAATTGCAGCGTACATCAATGGCACTCTGAAAAGTCCTTTGTGTTTTTATCCTGGTATAATGCAGAGAGAATTTGGGGTGCCTTTTGTATATATCAGAGGCTGCTCCGGACAGAAGATTTGTAAACTTTTCTCCCCCTTTTCTGCTAGAACCTGGCGAAAGTTTTCAAACTGGTGCCAGTGTTAATTGGAAACAAGTCGGGAGAGTGTAGTCTTCTTGGCCGGGTTTTTGTGCTTTCCTTCTCGCTCCATGCAATGATTTGGGTACACAAAGATGTGCCCACCCAAGCACCCGCGGACTCAGATGACCCAAGTTCCAGGACAGGTTGCCAGCAAGGAGGTGGAAAAGGAGGATCACTCATACAATCCCCAACACTGGCTTGGTTTAAATCTTTAGTTCCCAAAACTTGGACCAGTTGCGCCCGTACCTTGGGAAGTCTGATCTGGCCACAGTGCTCCACGCTCTTGTTACATCCCGTATAGACTACTGCAACGCACTCTACGTGGGCTTGCCCTTGAAGACTGTTCGGAAACTTCAACTGGTCCAACGAGTGGCAGCCAGATTGCTTACCGGAGCGACATACAGGGAGCACACCACCCCCCTGCTGTGTCAGCTCCACTGGCTGCCGGTTCAATTCCGAGCACAATTCAAGGTGCTGGTTTTGACCTACAAAACCCTTTACGGTTCCGGTCCAGTGTATCTGTCCAAACGTATCTCCCTCTACGTCCCACCCTGGAATTTGAGATCATCTGGGGAGGCCCTGCTCTCGACCCCACCGCTATCACAAGTGAGGCTGGTGGGGACGAGGAGCAGGGCCTTCTCAGTGGTGGCCCCTCACCTGTGGAACTCACTCCCGGGGGAAATCAGGGCATCAACATCCCTCCTCGCCTTCAGGAGGAAGGTAAAGACGTGGTTGTGGGACCAGGCCTTTGGGCAACCTGACAATTAGATATGGAAACCAGATGGATAGGACTGAAAGGACTGACAATTGTGGAATTGGAATTTAACTATGAGATTGTGAAACGCTGACCGTCAATGAGGTTTGTATTGGTTTTATTGCTTTTATTGGTTTTATGGTTGTTTTTGCCTATAATAATTATTGTTTTCTGTTAATTGTTGTTATTGCTAGAATTGCTGTTTGTAAGCCGCCCTGAGTCCCCCCCCCCCCCCCGGGGTGAGAAGGGCGGGGTAGAAGCAACCGAAATAAATAAATAAATTCATCTCCCAGAAGAACGGGTTAAAATTACAGGCAGTCCCCAAGTTACAAACATCCAACTTATAAACAACTCCTCGTTATGAATGGAGATGAGACAACAGGAAGTGAGAGAAATCTACTCCTTGGAAGGGAAATTCACTGCTGGAAGAGTTATTGTCATGGGAAAAAGGGTCTCCACTGCAAGTATATCACCTTCCCTATGCTATCCAAAAGATTATCTATCTATCTATCTATCTATCTATCTATCTATCTATCTATCTATCTATCTATCCATTCACATAATAAAAGTGAAAATATGCATGTGCTTATGTGACTGGGATGCCCACTTACACAGACAAACTTCTGCCTCCCCTGACTCAGGAGACACCAATGGCCCTCCCTCCAATGACATCACTGTAAACATGCCCAAGATTCCTGCCAATGTCCTCCACCAAAACCATTCTGCCCTCCACCCAAGTGAAGCCTTTCATACAGGGACAATTCCATTTTATGTGTTTCCTCCACCACAGGCATCTCAGTGTTTCTGACTCTCTCCATTGGTGTAGAATTTGCATGACTCCACCCACTGCATCTCCCTCAACCCTTTCCTATTTTTTCTATGGCACACAGCAATAATAATAATAATAATAATAATAATAATAATAATAATAATACCTTTATTTGTACCCTGCTACCATCTCCCGAAGGACTCGGTGCGGCTTACAAGAGGACGAGCCCAAATACAATAGTAAAACAATAAGAACAGCAACAGCAAAATAACTCAAAAAACAAAGCAATGACATAACAACACACAATGACGCAATTAAAATCAATGGGAGGGATTGATTTTAATTGCGTCATTGCAAGCAGAGGAATTGACCAGCAACTGATCATACTTTGTGGAGAATTCACCATGATTTATAGAAGTTGCAGGTCCTGGGATGTATATATCACCTGCAATCTAAGATCTGTACTCTGCTCCATCAATGATGGACCTGGAACGCACTTGGTACATTGAACCCTCATAACCAAAAAATATACTGGAGGTCTTTGGAGGGATTTAGAGGAGTTGTAGTTCACTTACATCCAGAGTGCGCCATGAACCCAAACAACGATGGATCTGAACTAAACTTGGCATGCATACCCAATATGCCCACATTTGAATCCTGGTGGGTTTTGATGGGAATTGGCCTCAGCATTGTGGAATTGTAGGTACTGGGATTTATAGGCCACTTGCAATCAGTGAGCACCCAAAACTCCACCAAAGATTGAATTGGACCAAACTTGGCACATAGAACCCCCATGACCAGCAAAAATACTGGAGATCTTTGGGGAAATTCAACTTGATTTGGGGGAGTTGTAGTTCACCTACATCCAGAACACAGTGAACCCAAACACTGGTGGATCTGGACCAAACTTGGCACACACCAAACTTGTGGTGAAGGCTCCTTCTTTGGAAACCTTTAAACAGAGGCTGGATGGTCATCTGTCGGGGGTGATTTGAATGCAATTTTTCTGCTTCTTGGCAGGGCGTTGGACTGGATGGCCCATCAGGTCTCTTCCAGTTCTATGATTATATGATTGATTCTATGGCATGCTGAAATTTGATTACTGGAGTGGTTGGGGGAGCTGCCCCTCCTTTCTGGGAGTTGTAGTTCACCCACAACCAGAGTAATTGTGACCTCCGCCGATGATGGACCTGGACCAAACTTGGTATCTAGAACCCCATGACTAACTCAACCTGCTTGAAGGGTCTGAGGGGACTGACTCACCATAGTGGGAGTTGTAGTTCACAGCCAGAGAGCACACTGTACCCCACCAATGATGCATCTAGAGTAAACTTGCCCAACATAACAAATGTTAAGTTGTTGTTCATTCGTTCAGTCATCTCTGACTCTTCGTGACCTCATGGACCAGCCCACGCCAGAGCTCCCTGTCGACCGTCACCACCCCCAGCTCCTTCAAGGTCAGTCCAGTCACTTCAAGGATGCCATCCATCCATCTTGCCCTTGGTCGGCCCCTCTTCCTTTTACCTTCCACTTTCCCCAGCATAATTGTCTTCTCTAGGCTTTGCTGTCTCCTCATATTGTGGCCAAAGTACTTCAAATGTTAAGTACTAATGGAGTTTTCCCGGGTTAACCTGGCATGATGTGAGTTGTAGTTCACCCACAACATTATGCATTTTGTACAATTTAAAAATTGACTTTTTAATATACTCTCCCCCAACCTATTCAACTTGTATGCAAAACACATCATGCAACGTGTGGGACTTAAGGAATCCAAGGCTGGAGTTAAAATGCTTGGAAGAAACATGTACAACCTGAGATATGCAGATAATCCCACCTGGATGGCTGAAAGCGAGGAGGAGCTGAGGAGCTTTCTAACCAAGGGGAAAGGAGAAAGGGCAAAAGCTGGGTTGCAGTCAAACATCAAAAAACCAAGATGATGGCAACCACACTGATGGATAACTGGCAAATAGAGGGAGAAAACTTGGGAGCAGAAACAGACTTTGTATTTCTACGTGCAAAGACTCAAGCCAGAACATCAGAAGGCGTTTCCTTCTAGGGAGGAGAGCAATGACCATTCTTGGTAAGATAGTGAAGAGTAGAGACATCACACTGGCACCAAAGTTCCGCATAGTTAAAGCAATGGTATTTCCCATAGTCACCTATGGACCATAAGGAAGGCTGAGCGAAGGAAGAGAGACGCTTTTGAACTGTGGTGCTGGAGGAAAATGCTGAGAGTGCCTTGGACCACAAGAAGATCCAACCAGTCCATTCTCCAGGAAAGAAAGCCCAGCTGTTCACTGGAGGGAAGGATATTAGAGGCAAAGGTGGCCACATAATGAGAAGACAGGAGACCTTGGAGAAGATAAAGATGCTGGGGGGAATGGAAGGGAAAAGGAAGAGGGGCCAACCAAGGGCAAGATGTATCCTTGGAAGGACTGGCTTGATCTTGAAGGAGATGGGGGTGACCACAGCCAACAGGGAGCTCTGGCCTAGGATGGTCCAGGAGGACACAAAGAAGAGTTGGAAATGACTGAACGAATAAACAACAACATAACAACAACAACAACCCTTTCCTCGTTCCATGGTATATTCAGGAAAGTATCCCTTGGGGAAATTGGGGTCAAACACTACATCTTCTGGGATGTTGTAGGTTTTTCCAGGCTATATGGCCATGTTCTAGAGGCAATTTTTCTCCTGACGTTTCGCCTGCATCTATGGCAAGCATCCTCAGAGGTAGTGAGGTCTGTTGGAAGTAGGAAAAATGGGTTTATATATCTGTGGAATGACCAGGGTAGGACAAAGGACTTTTGTCTGCTGGGGCTAGGTGTGAATGTTTCAGCTGATCACCTTGATTAGCATTCAATGGCTTGGAAGTGCCTGGGGGGAATCTTTTGTTGAGAGTGATTTTATGTGCCTGTTTGTTTCCCCTCTGTTGTTTTGCTGTTGCAATTACATCTTCTGCCTTTAAAATCATGTTTACTTTGTGCACTATTTTCTATTTGTCAAGCTGGTTTTATTGTATCCTGAGAACTCTGGATAGAGGTTGACTACCAATGGATCAATAATGTAGTAATGCTTCCTCTTTCCTTCTGTGCAGATCTGGGATGATGAGCTTGCGAGGTCGGCTGAGTCCTGGGCGCATCAATGCATTTGGGGTCACGGACCTGAAAGTCTCCTGCCATCCATCGGTCAAAATCTGGGGGTTCACTGGGGCAGGTAAGAGCCTTTCATGGAATGAGAGCTCTCTTTCCAAAGCATTTGTCAATCAGGTTTTTCCAGGCACATATCTGATCAAAAACAATGCTGGGAAAGATAACCTACGTATATTACATCTCCCAGAATCCTCCCAGCAGCCTGGTTGGTGTTCTCTGTGACTGAGAGATCTGAGATGCCATAACTGTGTTCTCTGTGTTATTGTTTATATGTAAGTTATATTAATTGTACTGTTTTATTTGCTTGCTGTTTTGTTTTTACTGATGTGTTGATGGGCTTGGCCTCATGTAAGCCGCCCCGAGTCCCCTTGGGGAGATGGTAGCGGGGCATAAATAAATAAATAAATAAATAAATAATAAAGTGGTGCCAAACTGCAATCATTCTACAATGTAGAATGAATGGTATTTTGAATGCAATTGGAAAAGTGAGATGACACAGAATTATTGTATTGACTCAAGTCTAATGTGCCATTGAATCTAAT